TTCATGTTGATGGTGTCGTTGTCATGCTTGAGCTCGATGGCGTTCGTCGTCGTCGTGCACATGTTGCTTGGAGGTTACTTTCCCTTCATGACGATGTGTATCATGAACGTGATGGTGGTCGCCATGGAGATGTGGACGTGGACGACTTGTGCTTATATCATTTGGGCGCTTCGAAGATGATTGAGTTGCTCATCGTCGCCTTGAGTATGATGAAGGGGAAGTAGACTTGATCAAGGCCCGAATCTCCTCCATCCTTGCATCTTGCTCCTCCTTTTGCGCGGAAAGCTTGTTGTCTATATAGTCCCTTTTCCTTGCTTCGGAGTGACGAATGTCGATGGAGAGGTTCTCGATGCGCTCTTGCAATCTTGATTGTGCGCCTTGCATTTGTCGTTGTAGATCGAAGATTGACGCTTTGGTGATGTAGTTGTTCACACCGTCATTGTTGTGGAAGACCGGAGATGAAATGCCTTGCCTATCCATCACAAGACTCGAGCAAATATGAGTGGAGAAAGGAGAAGAACTGTACCAAATGTACCTTGACCGATGTTGAAGATGGATCAATGATCAGTCAATGATGTAACCAGGAAATAGCACAATTGGTACCAATTCTTGTCGATTTCTCACACCTACACAAATAAGGCTTATGGTGGAGCTCGGTGAGGATAGTGGCACAAAAAATTGATGCAAAATGTTAGCAAGAGTCAATAATGTTGAAAGAGATTCACAAATTCGCAAGTGTAACAAGTAGACCAATTGCAATATGTGGCACACGGAAACACACACACGGATAGATAAATGGGGTCGTGCAACCAAGGATGAGCACAAAATGTGGAATCCACGGAAAACGCTTGTGTTGCACAACTCAAGAGAGACGCTAGCACGATTGCTCAATAGGCAGATACGACACTTGTGCACAACCTATAGGAGACAAAAATGCAACGACTTCTATCCCAAGTATGCTATGTATATGATGTTCCGGTGGTATGATCCAAGATGATCGGATATGACAATCTTATGCAATGTGGTATGATGCTATGGCACTTGCTTACAAGCTCTTTGTTCACTCTTTTTCTTTGCTTAAAAGCTTGTTTTTTTATATATGGCCACTTTGCAAAATGCACAAACCAAGATAGCAATTGGGTATATACGGGAACAATCTTGTGACACAAGGGATGATATGGTACCAATATGATATGGTATGTATGCAATGTATGGCGTAGATCACTAATGTGCACAAGTAACGTTGCCGGCAATACTCAAATGGCTAGTCTCGATAGGCAAGTAACACAAAATGGGATAGGGGTTATCAATGCAATGGCAAGGGAATTTACAATGGAGGGATACCACGATACCAAGATGATATGGAGGTTACCGTCTATGTCGATGATGAGTGGCGGTGATCTTGATGGAGATACCAAGATGATGGAGACTCGTCCCTAAGTAGCCGAAACACCTTAGGAAACGGAAAAACCGCGAACTCAAAATCTCAAATGTCAAATGTCAAATGGTGGTAGTGGAATGCGGTGGCGGTGTTGCGGAAGCTCAATGGGATTGCGGAAATGCAATGATGGGTTTTGCGAGTAGGCAATGCGGAAGTGGAGGGTAAGGTTGGCTATACACGGTGTCGGAGTTGGAAGCACGGTCCCTAAGTAGCCGAAACACCTTAGAAGACACAACTCACAACACAAACAAAATTGGGTTAAGTTGCGGTGGCGGAAGTGTATTGTGGGTAAGCCTATGCGGTAGTTGTGGTGGTGGTTGATGAAGAAGCAACCATACCTAAGTAGCCTAGACACCTTAGGAGACTCAAATCACTCCTCAAGCAACCACTAATGCGATGGGGAACAAAATTGGTTAGGTTGCGGAAGTCGGTGGTGGTTATGCGGAGGTTGTGGTGGAATCCATAGGCAAAGATGCCAAAGTTCCAACAATTTCATGGAGTCAAATGGTGATGATAGTATTTTTGTGGGAAGGGGGGTGTCAAGAGCTTTTCAACGAGCTAAAGAATGTCAAAACGGACTCCAGATGAATTAGTTATGGACAAAACGGTGAAACGGGGATGGCTGAGATGTCACGGGCCGGACATCCGGGCTCGGGGCCGGAAATCCGGGACCTGATGTCCAGAACCGAGCAAATTTGGTGCTCCAGGAGCCAGATGTCCGGCCCGACGAATCCAGGTCTCGTTTGGGGCGGAAATTTTCGAATTGGGGCGGAAATTGATGATTCCAAAGGCAAAATTGGAGAGATTTCGTGGATGAAAAGTGGGGAAAAGTGGGGATATGCTAGATCCACTTGAAACCAAGCAAATCCATGGATCAAATCCAACAAAACTTCGTCAAACCAACAAACAAAAAAATTGGAGGCTATTTTTGGTGGGGATTTTCGAATTTTAGGACGAAATCAACAAAATTAGGCTAGAAAACAAGGAGGGGAGGCTCCGAAATCATGATCAACGTGGCTCATGATGCCAAGATGATGTAGGGTAGAAACCCTATGGGCCGATCTTTCATGAAAGGAGCAGATCCCGCGATGAACACGAAGAACACGAGGAGGGAAACGAGGGGAAAATCACAAGGGAAACACAAGAGAACACTCAAACCAACAAGAATGATCACACATGCGCTAGATCCATGAACACAAAGAGAGATACAAGATCCAAAGTCAACAACGGACGATACAAGAGGCAACGGTCTTCTCCGTGAGGAGGTCTTGATGGGGCCGCCCAAGAGGGGGTCTTGATGATCTTCTCCGCAAGGAGGTCTTGAATCCAAAGGGATCTTCTCCGTAGAGGCCGCGGTCTCTCTCGTGGAGTAGATCCGATGTGGATGAGCAATACTCTATCTCTAAAATGAGCTAAACCAATGCTAACCCTAACCCTAACTAGGAGAAGGTGGGGAGTATATATAGTGCTAGCCCACGAAGGGGTAAGTGAGAGGAGGGATACATGGGCCCTTGGCCCGATCTCTGTGCACAGGCAGGTGCCAGATGTCCGGGCTGGGGGCTGGATGTCCGGCGGCTCACGAAGAGCCGGATGTCCGGGCCTCTGGCTGGAGTTTCCCGATTCTTCTGCTCTCTAGTTAGCGTGCTCCGGATTTCCGGGCGAAGGGGCCAGATGTTCGGGGCTTCGGGGGGAGCCGGATGTCCCGGGCATGGGGCCGGATGTCCGGGCTGTCGGGGTCGCTTCCGGAGCTCTCTGGATAGGAAGGGGACGGATTTCCGGGGGTAGGGCCGGATGTCTGGGCTGGGGCCGGATGTCCGGGGCCTGTAGCAGCTGGCTCTTCTTCCTTCTCCTTCCTTCGCTCCCGCACACACTTGGCCTTGGTCCTTGGGCTCTCCTTGGTCTCCTCGGATGTACCTGAGTATGCACAAGGTCCGCGCTTGAAGTAGCATCCATGTCTTACATGCGGAAAGGGAAGATTCGGAAAGGAGCGAGTTCACCTTGTGTCCAATGGCGTATGCTTGAGTGTACATGGGGATGATCGTAGGATGCTCCGCATCAGCGCCTGTGTGGTGGTGATGATGAGGGTGGCGTTAGTGGAGATGGCACCGCCCAAAGGCCGGTGCGTGCGGTGGTGGAGCCTCCTCATCTTCGGTTGGACTTGTCCCTTGTTCTATGGTGGTGGAGATGGAGCAGCAATGGACATTAATCTTGGATGACGACAACTTCTGAAAGATGATGGTGGTGGCTAGGGTATGCAGAGGTATTTATAATGCCTCTCCCAAAGCCTCCTCCGTTGATGATAGTTGACTGCTTTGATCCAGGGGTGAAGGTGAGACTAATCCTCTCCCAAACCCTTCCTATTGGCTAAGGGGATCGTGTGCGAACAAACAGGGACGGTATCGGTGAAGAATCCCGTCCAAAATGACAACTTTTGGACCTGTCTCACACGGTACGATCACCGGTACAACTGCGCAGTCATACCAAATGTCGTCGAACGCTTTGGACTCCTTTGATATTTTGATCGTCATTTCTTCATACAGACTCAGATTTTGATGTTCTTGGGCTCGTTCGAATCGCTTGAAAGATGCTGACGCGCCGGTGGTATTAGATTTGGAGCACTTGAAACACTGTTTTGACCTCCCAAATGCATAAGTCTAGTCTATCAGTCCTCTTTATTTTACGCGTGTTTGGTCCCTTTCATCGTTTTGGTCCTAGGTTGATCCAAAACACCTCTAAACACAAGAAAACTAAGAAAAGTAATAAAAAAACCAAATAAAACACTAAAAATGCAATGCTCATAGTGAAAATGGTAAAAAAAACTATGGGCACTTAAAGGGGACAATGAAAACAATAAAATGCAACCGCATGAGCATCGAACAACTCATGAGCAACTTAAGAAAAATATGATTGAGCATATATAGGCGCTTAAAGGGGACAACGAAAACATATGTGCGAGTTGAATTCAAGTTTAAATTATTTTATTTTAACACTTAATTGGATTATTATGTTTACATTTGAACTAGTGTCGCATTTGAATATTAACTAATCGGAGATTTGATATGCTATTATTTCAAGTGTTTTGGACTTTAGAAATAGAAGCACACGTTTGAGGTTCTTATAACCGTATCTGCATACGCACACAAATATTGTGTTCGCTTCGAGGAATGTTTACATTCCATTCCTGGTTTTCATACCACCCCGTCCTGATTTATTGGCTCCCTTCTTATTTTGTGTCGAATTTTGACCATAGCTTTGATCAAAAAATGTTAATGGATGTTACGAAAAATTATATCCTTGGATCACATTTGAACATAATTTTTGATAATGTTATTTTTACTGTGCATAGCTTATATTTTATTAGTTAAAATTATGATCAAAATATGACCCTAAATACTAGGGAACTAATAAATCAGGACGGAAGTAGGATGTACTAGTAGTAGCTCTAATAAACACCACCTGCATTATTAAGGATGCCATAAAAGGGGCTACATAAAACACAAGGAACAAGAAAAACAGTTCAAAGCACGCACGACACTCCCAGCAAACTGCAAACGCGGGATCAAACTCTAAGAAGGTAGACGCTAAGCTCGGGGCCGACGCTGTTGGCATTGCTGCCGCTGTCCGGGTTGATCATGTAGAATGCCTCCGAGTCGCGCGAGCCCACCACGCGCTCGAACCGCGCGCGCATGTACATGACGTCGCCCTCGCCGCCACCGCATGACGCCGGTATGACCCCGGCCCCCATGGACACGGGCTCCAGCGCGCGCAGCACCCGCCAGTCTGCGGCCCCGCACTCGCGCCGCACCGCGTACCCGCATCCCTTGCCGTTGCAGTAGGCGCGCCACACCGTCTCCTCCAGCAGCTTCCTGCCCGCGCCGGCGCCCGCGCCAGCAGTGGTGCCGGGGAATGCGGAGGCGCCCTTGGAGCGCTCGCACTCGAGTGCGATGCGCACGAGGCCCGAGGCCATCTCGCGAACTAGCGACGCCGTGGGCGCGGTCAGCTCCAGCAGCAGCGCCGGGCACGCGCGCGGGTCGACCTGGAACGCGAGGTGGACGTGGCCGCGACGGTGCCCGTACAGCGTGCCGGTAAGCCGCGAGCCGAGGCCGACCTGCCGGTGCCGGCCGGAGATTGCCGCTGCCAGCGCCGTGCGCAGGCGCGACACGGCCGTGCGGCCCGGCCTAGTATTCTTGCGGTGCTGCTTGAGCGGCTTGGGCGGGGGAGACACGAAGTCCTCCGAGTGGAAGGACCGGCAGGCGGAGGAGAAAGCCAAGGACGCCTCCTCGTCGTCCTCGGCATGCTTATCCGAGCTGATCTTGACGAAACCTTCCTCCGCGGCGGCGGTGCTAGTGGCGCCATGGCTGCTGCTCTTGCCGAGAACCGGCCACTTGAAGTGCCTCCGGGAGAAGGAGAAGGAGGACTCGTGGGGGCTTCTCTCCATGATGTTTCTCATGGTATGGTTTCTTGCAGAAGCTGCTGTCTATTGCGCGCCGGCTGTGTGTGCCTATGTATGGAGGATGATGGACGGAAGGAATGGGGTTTTGTACTGTGAGGGGAAACTGGTGAGCAGAACCCACCAAACTGAGCAGACAGGAGAGAAGAGAAGAGAAGAGAAGCGTGTGTGTGAGCTCTGTCTTGTTTCCCCCTTGTTTCTGGCTTGGCTCTGTTGTGTGTTGTTGTGTCTCGAGGTCGAGGAGGAAATGGAACACAGGCTGCGGTGAGTCTGTGCCTCTGCGGTCAGGCCCGGCACCGGCAGGCAAGCAGGCACGCAGGCACGCAGGAGAAACGAGTGCTGTAGCGTTTTCGATTAAGTGCTGTAGCATTTGATAAATGAAATTCATACTCACCTCCAGACACCCTTTATCGAAAAAAAGTTGTACTGCATCTCTGCGTCTGAAGTAAAAAAACGCAGGCAGCCAGAACTGCGGGGATACAAGTAAGGATTTGTCCAACTAATCGTACATCAGTACGTGTACGTGGAGTAGATTACAGAGATGTGGTGCGAGCGAGTAGGTTGGTTTGCCTGCATTGCGCTGTGCCCCTTCACTCTCAGAGTTGACAAACTGTGCCCAGCTAAGCTGGTCCGTCCATGCCCCATGTCAACTGTGTGCAAATGCTGCAAACGGTGTCACTAGTTTGACCGGTAACTAAATCTCTGGACACCATACGCGAAACATGGCAACCAGATAATGAACCAGCCAACAATATAGGTGAATTCCAGTTGAGCATGAAGATTTGGGCGACAACGTTTTGCATTAGTAGGTGGCACGGTGCTGACTATTTCTCTCACATTGCTTGCATCCCGCTGTAACGTGCTTTACACCGGGATACTCTTGAGAAACTTGTGCCAGGTGTCTTGCGTGGGCGTGACCGAGAGCGAAGTTAACTCGATGCCTATTCAGGTGCACTAAATAATGCAAGTGTGAGCTGAGAGTTGGTTCAGAGACATACGCAGTTTAGCACGTTGAATTTCGCCCGCCCCTGTCTCAAGGCCCAAATGCCTCCAAGCTGCCTCCTGAGAAAAAGGGACATGGAGAAAAGCACAGTGGCGCGACCGAGCTTAGGGTCTCTTTGATTCAAAAAATTTTGATAGGATATTTGAAGGATTAGAATCCTTAGAAATTTTTCCTACATTGGTTGTTTGATTCGTAGGATTGAATCCCGTAGGATTTTTTCCTCAGGATTTATTTGTACTACATTTCACAGGAATTTTAACATCCACTCCAACCTTTTGAAAGAAATCTTTTGTTTTTCCCGTGACACAATCAAACAAACTCAAATTCTATAGAGATCCAATGGTCATGCCATTTCAATCCTACGTTTTTCCTATTTCTGTGTTTTTGCAATCCTATGAATCAAAGAGGCCCTTAATCTGTCCCCACAATGACGCTCAAATCATGACGGCGGCCCGGGTGTGGATGTGGATTGCTTGAGGTGAAACGGAAACACATCCAGGCACTGTTTGTCGCTGCACACATTGTAAAGGACTAGAGCTTGAACTTGTGCGAATGAAACGAGGAAAAGGAGACGACAAAGGCAGCTGTGTTTTCCACCCCTTGTGATCCGTGCGGTCGATAAGACAGAGCAACACGGTAAACAAAGCAGCAAACTTTTTTCTTTTCTTAAAGGATAGTCACGGAAGACATAGCAAGCACCGAAAAGCGCAAGTAGAGGCTGAGCTCCATAGAAATCTTTTCTTTTTCAGCAAAAGAACTTTTTCTACACCTTAAAAAATTCTGAAAGAAGTAATGTAGACATATATTTGTAGTATACATGCATAAAATTTCATAAACATATATTCATATAGGATGTACACAAAAAAGGAAAATGCAGGCATTAAAATGGGCTTTTTCTTTGTTGTATTTGGGCTAGATATTTGTCTTTTTTGTGTAGCATGCAAATAAACAAATTAGTTGATGAAATTTTAAACATATTTAGAAAAAAATTATTTTTTTCAAACTTTTAAATATATTTTGATTTTTTAGAACAAGCTCCATAGAGCTCGGTCTTTGCAATGCCGCACTCTAGCAAGCACATACTAGCAGAAGAGAGTACAATAGCACCAGAGGCCAAAACCATGTCCACCACCTCGCCCGATTGGCCCAAAATCACCATATTTGACCCTATGACAAAATATTAGCATGATTTGACCCTTGTTCGAAAGTTTAGCGGCGTTAAGGTATATGGGTTACTGACATAGTCAACGGAGGTAGACCCTGGTCCACGCCCCCTGAACATGCCTACATGGCAAAGTAGCAGCGTTATTGACCACGACGGTAGCCTTCTAACCCTACCACCACGACCATCGACGATAGACTCCTCAATGGGTAAGTGGCTGGTGGGCCACCCACCCACCCATTCAATCTCATTCAATTTTCTTTTCTCATACCCGAGCTAGTGCCTTCTTCCCTCTCCCATCCAAACTCCTCTAAAATTCCACTTAAATTGGAGCCATTTGTTCGGTGAATAGGAGGCATTTCTATCCCTTGAGGTAGACTCTCCCATCCTTCATGATTTTGTTGGTTAGAATCGTCTTATTTAATGGCATTGTTAACTTTTGAGCAAACCCTACTTTTGGTGATTTCTCTCAAATCCATTGCAAAAATGGTGGAATGTAGGGTTGTATGAGTTTTATGATGTGTAGTCGGCATTATGGTTGTGGTTTGTAACCAGAACTAAGGTTATGTTTAGGGTTAGGATATGTGCTATTTAATGTCACGATCCGTTGAATACATTAGTTGTGATGTGCTTTGGATATAATGCATTAATAATGTCATGATGCATATAATACATTAGACTTGTCGTTGATCCATTAAGTCGTGTGTCATTATTTTTAGATAACGAGACTTGTTAATGTTCATTATTTGGATAAGGCGGCATTTTTCGGTAACAATGCCGACATTATTGACGACAATCGGAAAAGGGGAAGGTATGATGTTGAAAGAGTAAGGGTCAGGCGTCGCTTCTCGATTTCGTGCCCTCGAAGAACCATTTGCTGAGAAATCCCGTGTTGCAAGAGATTCTGACGATCGAAGCATCTCTTCAAACTTGGATTGGTCCCCGCTTGTATAGTGGATGGACCCGAATGTTAGAGTTAAACTCACAGGAAGGTATGATGTTGGGGTGGGATCAAAATCTCGAATGAAAAATATGCCTAACAATTCAGATTTACATTTGGAGGTACACAAGGAGGCACTTGCATTTTAGAAGTGAGAGCCTCCGGGTCGCTCCCGTTCGGGCGACTCGCGCGGAACACCATTCCTAGACGGCGCCACCAAAATTCCTGCCTACCCCTGCTCCGCCTCCACCGGACGACACCGCACCATGAAGTTGCACGACTGACAGCGGCGGTGGGGACCTAGTGACGGCGCAAGGTGACTCTCGGGCACGATGGAGAGTGGCCATGTGGTTTGACGCGTTGGCATCTTGGCCAGCGCAACGACACGCCGTGGCGGCCTCCTACACCTGGCATCCTGTCCAGTGTTGGGGAACGTAGCAGAAATTCAAAATTTTCCTACGTGTCACCAAGATCTATCTATGGAGAGACTAGCAACGAGGGGAAGGAGAGTGCATCTACATACCCTTGTAGATCGCTAAGCGGAAGCGTTCAAGTGAACGGGGTTGATGGAGTCATACTCGTCGTGATTCAGATCACCGATGATCCTAGTGCCGAACGGACGGCACCTCCGCGTTCAACACACGTACAGCTCGACGATGTCTCCCACGCCTTGATCCAGCAAGGAGAGAGGGAGAGGTTGAGGAAGACTCCATCCAGCAGCAGCACAACGGCGTGGTGGTGATGGAGGAGCGTGGCAATCCTGCAGGGCTTCGCCAAGCACCTACGGGAGAGGAGGAGGTGTCACGGGAGGGAGGGAGGCGCCAAGGGCTCAGGTATGGATGCCCTCCCTCCCATCCACTATATATAGGGGCAGGGGAGAGGGGGGAGGCGCAGCCTTGCCCCTTCCTCCAAGGAAGGGGTGCGGCTAAGAGGGGGGGGAGGAGTCCATCCTCCCCAAGGCACCTCGGAGGTGCCTTCCCCCTTTAGGACTCTCCCCTTTTTCCTATATCTTGGCGCATGGGCCTCTAGGGGCTGGTGCCCTTGGCCCATGTAGGCCAAGGCGCACCCCCTACAGCCCATGTGGCCCCCCGGGGCAGGTGGCCCCACCCGGTGGGCCCCCGGGACCCTTCCGGTGGTCCCGGTACAATACCGATGACCCCGCAACTTGTCCCGATGGCCGAAACAGGACTTCCTATATATAAATCTTTACCTCCGGACCATTCCGGAACTCCTCGTGACGTCCGGGATCTCATCCGGGACTCCGAACAACATTCGGTAACCACATACAAACTTCCTTTATAACCCTAGCGTCATCGAACCTTAAGTGTGTAGACCCTACGGGTTCGGGAGACATGTAGTCATGACCGAGATGTTCTCCGGTCAATAACCAACAGCGGGATCTGGATACCCATGTTGGCTCCCACATGTTCCACGATGATCTCATCGGATGAACCACGATGTCAAGGACTCAATCAATCCCGTATACAATTCCCTTTGTCTAGCGGTATGGTACTTGCCCGAGATTCGATCGTCGGTATACCGATACCTTGTTCAATCTCGTTACCGGCAAGTCTCTTTACTCGTTCCGTAACACATCATCCCGTGATCAACCCCTTGGTCACATTGTGCACATTATGATGATGTCCTACCGAGTGGGCCTAGAGATACCTCTCCGTTTACACGGAGTGACAAAATCCCAATCTCGATTCGTGCCAACCCAACAGACACTTTCAGAGATACCCGTAGTGTACCTTTATAGCCACCCAGTTACGTTGTGACGTTTGGCACACCCAAAGCACTCCTACGGTATCCGGGAGTTGCACAATCTCATGGTCTAAGGAAATGATACTTGACATTAGAAAAGCTTTAGCATACGAACTACATGATCTTGTGCT